GTTCAGCCGTTTAGGCGTGAAAGAGGAACAGACAGACAGACAGACAGACAGACAGACAGAGTTACTTTCGCATTTATAATATTAGTATGGATAATAACCCCTGGAAATGAGGTGATCGCTACCAAGCTATTTCTAATTTGTTTTGTGTGGTTAATTTTGTAACACTCTTGATTGTAAGCTGTTATAAAAAAAAGTCCCGCTGGGTTTCTTACTGGTTCTTCCCAGGACAGAGGGTTTTTTTTCGAACCAGTGGTAATTAAACAAAAGAGTGACTTTCAATAAGTATTATTTATAATCTATATTGAATAAAAAAAGTTTCTGTTTCTGTTTTAACCTACGTAAACGACTTATGCAAATTAAATCTTCCAAATCAGTCAAATAATTATCTTTGATGACGAAAAGGCCCTTCTCTTTGATGGTGATTCCAGACCTCAGTTGAGCAATGGTCCAAAGGATCAAATATCGTTGTAAATTGGCTACTTACTTTAAATATTGAAAAAAAAAATTTTAACTTTTTCTATCAGAGTATAAGATCAGACTTCACTGTATCACTTCTATCTGAAGGTGCACTCGTGTTACAGGTATGAGTCACTCTCTCTATGGTTTTACCATTTCTCAGACTTCGCCCAGGACTGTTATGCCCAATATTAGTTCAGGCATAATCGAGTATCTATAGGTAAATCGATAACAGGCTCAGACTGCCTGCCCAAGCATCGAGAGATCTGAGTACGTTAAATATCTTGGTGTTATAATAGATAACAATTTACGTTTGAAAAACATATACTTAGCTGCACTAACATACAGATTAAGAAAGCTTATTTACGGATTTAAAAACCTTAGAAATGCTTCGGATACGAAAGTGATTTAAGCTGTTTATTTTGCTTTTGTTCAATCTCTTCTGCTATACCTACGTACGGTATAACTGCATGAACGTATGAAAAGATCTACGCTCAAAGTTGTTGACGAGTATGTTTATCTAGCACAAATAGTCCGACTAGGTAAGTCCAACTTCGACCTAGAGATCAATCAGCGGATTCAACTCGGCTGGGCAGCGTTCGGGAGATTACGACACATCTTCTCGTCAAGTATACCTCAAAACTTAGAAAAGAGTTTATACAACCAATGCGTATCGCCAGTGATGACTTATGGATCTGAGACATGGTCCTTCACTGCTGGCCGTATGAAGCTCAAGGTCGCTCAGCTAAAATTATGATATCCGCAGTAGAACTAGAGTAACCGACCTATCCCAATGAATTAGTAAGCTGAATTGGGAATGGGCCGGCCATTATAGCTCGAAAAACCGATGAGGAAGAAACGTTCTGGAGTGGCAGCCTCGTACCGCTAGACGAAGTGTAGCAGGACCCCCCACTAGATGTAGTGACGACCTGGAAAGACACGCAGGCAGTCGATGTATGCAGGTGGCTCAGGACCGTGCTTTGTGGCATTCCTTTTTTGAGGCATATGTTCAGCAGTGACTTGTGAAGGGCTATATTGATAATGATGATGGAATAATAATATTATCGAGTCTGTGTGTAACTTAATAATTTTTTTTTATTTTAAGCATTGTGGCAATCGCCACTTTATTTGTTTTTCTGAGTTTTAAGTTATTTGTCATAAAAAGACTAGTATGTGTATCATTGTAGACTTATGAGAGTCCACTACCCCATTTCATTCCGCAGATGTTGTAAGGTGCAACAGAGGTAAACTGATACAAGAAAGTTCGACAGCTGAACGTTCGTGATAACAACTGAAAAATATAAAAAAACTGCGGTTCCCAATCCATCTGCCAAGCTTAGCTAACATAGCTGGCATGGCATCATAACATAGCTCTCACGTCTGTTAGTTGTAGGCAGACAAGACGGACTTTCATTTGGCATGATCGTGACACTGATTCTGCCATGATGACGATATCATCAGAAAAGCGTAAGTGTGAGATGTACTCACCGTTTACGTTAATGCCGCATCCTTTCCAGTCTAGCGTCTTAAAAACATCCTCCAGTGCATTTGTAAACACATCCCCTTGTCTCACTCCGCGATACAACTGGATCGGTTTTGTTTGACTGTCCTGTACTTGCACTGGTATTGTAAAGACATCTCAGCACTTCGATATACCGCCAGTAAATTTGGCGCCGCTGCAAAGAATCCAGAACAGCCCAAGTTTCGATGGAGTCAAAGGCTTTCTCATAGTATGCAAGACACAGGGTCTGATTATACTCTGTTGTCTTCTGTATTATTTGCCGCACTGTGTGAATGTGGTCTATAGTGTCAAATCCTCCGCGAAACCCAGCCTGTTTCGCAGGTTGAAAGCCGTCAAGTCTTCGTGCGAGTCGATTTGTGGTGACCCTCGAAAACAACTTATAGACGTGGCTCAGATGCGAGAGGGGTCGATAATTTTTCAGCAAAGTCTTGTCACCTTTCTTCTGAAACAAGACTGTAAAGCTTCTGCTCCACGGCTTTGGAGTTCTTCCATCTCGTAAGATGCAGTTAAAAATTCAGCAGAGCTTTTTTTTAGCAAGGGTTGACTCCCAGCCTTTAAGAGCTCTGTTGTAACTCCATCTTCTCTAGGGTCTTTTCCATTTTTAAGTTCCAGCGTGGCTCTGGAATCATCGCATTTAGGGCCATGTTGTGGCTTATGTAAGACGTATAGTTTGCCATAATAGTCTTCGATCTCAGAGAGAACCTCAGGCTTTGACGGGAGGACTTTGCCATCAAGTGTCTGCAGTCTTGCGATGTGACTTCTCCCAAGCTCCTGAGCAAAGACTTTGGATCCCTTGTTTCGCTGTATTGCCACTTGTATCGCAATCGCATTAGAGTGACGCAGGTCCCGCCTCACAGCTTTCCTCATAAGCTTGGTTAATGTCACCTGTTCCGGTGACGTTGCTGTTGTTAACTCACGCCTTCTTTTCATAAGCTGAAGTGTATCATCTGAGAACTTCGACTTCCATCCCATATGTTGCTTGGCACAAAACCTGTTGCCCTCATCCCTTAAGATCTTGATCTCGCTGATAAGGTCCTCGTCAATATCCAACGTGAGTCTCTAGGCATCGAATCGGTTTTTAAGTTCTAACTGGAAGTGTTGGGAGCCAGTTACGTTATGAAGTAGATTTGGTCGAAGGGTGGACTTAATCAATCGAGACCTTTCAAGCGTAAAATCAATATTCAGAGTGCCTCGTACAAGGCGGTGATATGTCGGTATGAGGCTCGGAATTTATCTGCGGCATAAAGTCCGTAACGAGGATAACCACAGAAGAACAAGAGTAAATTACATAGCTCAGTTGATCCGGTAAGCTTTAGTTGCAATGGGCAGACCATATCGCTCGAAGAATCTAAAACCAATGAGGAAAAGGTAAAGTGGCAGCCTCGTACTGGCAAGCTCACTGTTGGGCCGCCACCTCACAGTAAATCGAGTGACGACCTGATGAAACATGCAGATGGTCCTTGGAAGCAGGTGACTCAGGCCATACTTTGTGAGATTGTCATAAAGTATGGTCTATCTATAAGGTAGGCCTATATTCAGCAATAGACTCGTGATGGGCTGTAGTAGTAATAAATTTAAATCACTCCTCATCCAATATTGAACTTCCTAATATTATAAAAATAACATATTATGTCTTTTCCTATGATAAAATATACTTCTTTATCAAATCCTTTTAGCCATTTAAGCATGATTCTATGACCAACATCCAAACAGAAATACTTTCACATTTATTTTCTTCTTCATAAGCCCACAAATCATGAGCCTTTTGCATTGTAAGGGTTTGTTTTAAAAGTCTAACTTGACAGGTGGATGGATTGGTGATTGCAGAACTAAATATCTCACACCTTTTGCTTTGCTCTGCATCATCGGTCTAGATATTTTATGTGTGGTGTAAATGAGACACTTAACACCATCTACAAGAAGTTATGAGATCTTCAAATCAACATCAACAAACCCAAGGATGTGGAATGGGATTTGACTTATCTTTTTAGTAGACATTAAAATTAAGCTTGTTTCTAGATATAACAATACTTACATTCAATATAGAGATTTATGCTTAGTAGGAACAAAAACATTTTGTCAATCTGATAAAGCTTTTACAAGTTATGTTTCATGATTTAAATCCCAGTTGGGGCCAACATTTAGAAACACCAATTGCCATTTTCAAGATCTAGATGTGTGATTCCTCATGTTCATGAATGTATTTACTAGTAGGCATGGGTAAGTTAAGACAAGTTAAGCTTTAGCTTTTGTTAGTACCTACACTTGACACTATATATTGTCCTGGTCAATTGGTAATCTGGTATTAGACGGTAGTTGTCACCAAGATTGAAATCAGACAGGGCAACTTTGCTTATATATTATGTGCAAATCCAATTTCTGTTAAAATGAAAAAGTAAATATACAATTAAAATTACTAATTAAAATAATGTATAGTACATTGTTACGAGTGATAAGGTATAATATAAAATATATTAGCAAAAACATATAGTTTAAGTATCTTTGGTAAAGTTTTTAAATTAATATCACAGATACGATGGCGCACAACCAAGAACAGTTGCAAATCTTATAGAAGTTTTAACCATTTGTTATTATAATTGTGAAATATAAACATATTTTATATTTCACAAGATCATAACAAAAAGTACAATATGTATTTTTCACCACAAACCTTAGCAATTACTTTAGAACAGTGAAGTTTGACTGATAAGGTATTATTGTGTGAAAAAAGTTGGTCCCTATTCAATTATCACATATGCACTTCAATACTTTGAAATAACATTAGAGGTTTTTAATCCTCAGACTAATACTTTTTATGATTTCACTCAACTTTCTTATATAGTCCCAGTGAAATTACAACCTACATACTTTGAAAACTGTCCAAAAAATTAATAAATGTAAATGTTCCAACAATTCAGCAGTCCATCACAACACTAATTTACAATTCAATAAAGTTCAAAGTTCGGACACAATCTTTTATTAGCATCATCAAATAATCATTACATCGGTGGTAAATTTAGTTTCATCGTCTATCTCTGTAAGATCTGTGGGATTCACGGTCACGGCTGCGATTACGAGAACGATCTGAAGTGCGCCACAAAAACTCATCAACAGAGCGTTCATAGGATCTTTTATCATACACAAGCACAGAACGAGGATAATCAGCCAAGTCATAGTATCGTGGTGGCGGTGGTGGTGGTGGTGGCAGTCCGTCATAACTCGGTAACGCACCACTAAATCCAGGTGGGGGTACATAAGGTAATGGTGGTAATTGGTGATGCATAGATCTCATGTATTCTGCAACATAGGCCTCTGCAGCAGCTGAACTAGTACTGTTATATGTATCTCTACCACGAGTAAACCAGGATGGTAGACGTTCTCGAATGTATGGAGATGGTGATCTTCTTTTATATGAACCAGGGGCCAAACGATTTCTTGTTGATGTAAAGATTTTTCTTCTGCTCCTTGATGAAGAACCCATGCGATTCCGGTAATTTGAGCCCCTGGAGGATAAAGGAGCTCTATAAGTCCTGTAATTTCCACCACTCTTTAAATAAGCCTTTTTTGATGCTTCTTTTGATTTTCGCAAAATTGGAGTCATTTCTATTCCCTCATCTTCAGGAAATAGTCGACATAACTCTTCTGCAACTTTAGGTTCAATTTCTTGTCCATCTCGGCCAATTTTAACAGGTTTCCCTTCATTCCATGGGTTGTACAAATGAAGAGTGCTGCTGAATGACAATTCCTTTCTGCATATCCAATCAACTTTAAAGACTCCATCCAAAACTTTTGCAGAGAGCCCTGGAGGCAACACCCATGATATAGGTGGGCCATCATGGCGAGACTCACTTGCTAATCTAGCAAAACCTGCAAATTTACCACTCTCTTTTACTGAAAATATCAGAAGAACATTTCGTGACTCGCGGTAAGCTTGATTCAAATTAGCTTCATTTTGGGGTAATGTAGACCAAACTCCCTTCGCTTTCGACAACGTAATATTTTCTGCATTGTTGGATTTGATTAAAAAGAACCGTGTGTCTCTGAACAAATAATTCAATTTCGTCATATAATCATATATTTTTATTTTGTTAGCAGCTGCACTACGTAGTCGTTTACATTGTGCAGGAGAATTGCTTTTAGATTTTGCACGTTTACGATTACGTCTATCTTTTGACTTGGAACTGACAGAACTAATGCTCGGAGTGCTGGAATCGCTAGAAGATGAACTAGAAACTTCGCTACGAGTATCGTAATCTTTTACTTCTTCCAGTTGTTTAAGTTCCTCACCAATTTCTGCTTCTACTTCACCTACGCCCAGATTCACGGCGTCTGTGTTACTTGAGACCTCCATTTTAGTACCTATCTTTGATAAAACCAATCCCTGTAATCAAGGATTAAGCTACTCTCTGACGAGAGTTTCTAATGAATTATTTATACATTTTCAAAACAACATATTTTTTTCTTTAAAACTTTTTCAAATATAAATTTTAGCCTACTTTGCTAGCATTAATAAAACAACTTGACTTGATTTAGAATACAATCAAATCAAATTAGGCTTGGGCAAAAAATATCGATATCTATCGTCGATATTTTTAATCGCGATATATCGATATTTATTTTAGAGTATCGAATTCGTAACAATTGCTATTTATTTGAAAATGATGAAATGACAAAAGGTGTGGTTGTCGTTTTTTTTCGTCCTTCAACCGTCAGTAATGTTAAATTTTAGGTAAAAATGACGCCGATATATCAATATATATCACGCGATATATATCGATACTGTTAAAAATATCCATATATTTTTCCCTTGCCATCCCTAAATCAAATCAAAAGTTCAAAAGCCGCGTCTCCACCAAAGTCTTTTTTTTTTTGAGTTTATGGCCTGGTATCTAGACCTTTAGGCCAACACCAAAATTTTGTTACCGACTGTTGTGTTGCCAACACGTGTTGGTAACAAATGTTTTTGTAATTACCTAGTGTTGGCAACAAAACTTGAAACAATGTCGGGAACCATGTTTCCATTTTCGGCGGCAACATCAAAGGAATACGTTTGTTCCAAACCTTTGTTCCCTCTATGGAGACGCTTGTTGGAAACATTTGTCGACAACATATCTGTCACGTGGACGAACAAGTTAATCGACACATTAATTAATTTATATCGTTCACAAAATATATTATGTTATGTGTGTAATCAAAATTATATTATTATTTATAAGTAGATCTAGATAATTAGGTACTCAGTTACTGACGCCATAGTTACAGATTTATTATTTGATTTTTCGATTTTTTCAATTTCGATTTTTTCGCGTATAATGCCAATGATCTTAAAAAAAGTTCAGTGTAAGTAGACCTCCCAGTGGTAGTGACTGCCCACTAATGCAAGATCAGCATATACTGGTTAGTTGTTTAATAATTATCTTTTCCACTCTTTCATTAATAATGAAGTTGGCGGCAACATCAAAGGAATACGTTTGTTCCAAACCTTTGTTCCCTCTATGGAGATGCTTGTTGGAAACATTTGTCGACAACATATCTGTCACGTGGACGAACAAGTTAATCGACACATTAATTAATTTATATCGTTCACAAAATATATTATGTTATGTGTGTAATCAAAATTATATTATTATTTATAAGTAGATCTAGATAATAGGCTATTTGACTAATTTTGGAAAACCATTTTAAATGATTCTTTATTACGTAATAAGCATACTACATTGATATTTCCGAGAGATCTACTGTATTAACAATAAAAATCAAAGTTAAAGTTTAAATTTCCAAAACCGCGGCAAAAACGCTTATTCTGTAATGACGCTGGTCATATTCCGTGTGACGTCACACACAAGTAAAAAGGTCAATAACCCTAATAAAACAGTGCAGCTGAAGTGAATTTTATTATTTTTCTTCAAATTTATTCGATAAAATGGTGTATAAATGGTGTGTAGTGCCACAATGTACTAATACGACTATAAGTAGTCCACACAAACTGTTTGTTTCTGTTCCAACGAATCCCAAAAGACGAAAAATGTGGTTACGATTAGCTCGAAGAGACCCAAAGAGCATTTTAGCTCATACCAATGTTTTTATGTGTGAAGATCATTTTAATGTAAGTAATATATAACTTTATATATACTAGACTAGATGGTAGCCTAATATCGGTTTTTGTATAAAGTAATAACATCTTTAATACCCAACCTCCAAATATGGCTTAATCTTACAGCATAAGTTGGAAGGATACTTTTCACCCAAACCCTACAGGGTTCCCTGTAGGGTTTCATATGTTATCTGTTATGTTATTTAGCTTTCTTAATAATTTTCTTATGCTGTCTTGTAATGTTTATTGTCTTGTCAAACATAATATAGATACTTCACTCCTTACATTGGCAATAATGTTGAGTTACAGATGGAAAAGGACACAATTAACTACTTGAAGTACAAAATGGGCTTCAGTCAGAAGATACTTTTGGCAGATGAGGCTGTGCCAACTAAATTTCATTGTCAAGAGGATCGTAGAAGTCGGCTACCTGATGCTGGACCTTCTCGAGAAGTTTTCTTTAAAAGGCAAAGAATTGATATTGTCACAGAATGTCTGCGAAGACATAGTACTACAACCCATACAGAAAGCTTACAAAATGATGATATGATACAAGAAATCATTGAGCCTAAAGGTTATGTTATCTATATAATACAAATGTCATAAGATATTTTTTCACATTTAAATGAGTTAAGTTTATGTTATTCACATTTAAATTAAGTAATTAATTTGGTTTTTTGTCTTTTCAGAATTACCAAAAACTCAAGACAAAGAAACAATCACCGACCCTATCATAACTGTAGAAAAAGCTGTTCAAGCAACAAAAAAAGTGAATACGCATTTTAGGAGCAAGGCTGTGCAAACTAGATGCCAAAATAAAAGTATTTCTACCTCACCATGGAAAGTTTCTACAATATCTCATTTCACTTCACCAATTAATATTAAACCATGCCATCTTCAACCATTACAGTCAGAGGTTGTTAAAGCAGTTAAGAGAAATATTTTCCTTGTAGATGAAAAATCTGATAGTGATATTTCTTGTTTTGAAAGTGGTCTTTTATCACCTTTTGGAACTACATCAGTAAAGGTTACGGACTCTGATAGTAATGTTACAGATACCAAAGAGAATATTGAAAAATTACAGTGCCTCAAAAATACTTTGCGTTTAATTGAAAAGAAACCATTGATGTATATTGGTATTTCCAAAGAATGTTATTTTTTAATTGAGTTGTTGCATAGACACACAAATATAAATAGAGAACATATTTTGCTATGCTTGAAAAAAATTAGATTAAACAGCACATTTTCTGAACTTGAGGATAATTTTGGTATATCATTATCTTATGCCAGTAAATTATTTTTAAGAAACTTACCAATAATAAGTGGTTTTTTAAAACCATTCATTGTAAACTTAGACAAAAATTTAATAAAAAGGAATCTTCCTATTGCATTTAGACATAACTATCATAATGTAAGCTGCATCATCGATTGTCTAGAAATTGATATACAAAAACCATCAAAGGCTCTTCATCAGGCTCTGACATGGTCAGAGTACAAAAAGGGGAATACTGTGAAGTATTTAATATCATGCACACCTAATGGTTTGGTTAATTATGTTTCTCAAGGGTTTGGGGGTAGAGCAAGTGATGTTACCATAGTAGAGAACTGTAACTTTCTAGATGGATTACAACAGGGAACTTGCATCTTAGCTGACAGAGGCTTCAAGCACCTTGAACAGATACTTCATGAAAAGGGCATAAAACTATTAAGGCCACCCAGTGTAAATGCTGGTGCAAAGTTATCAAAAACTGAAGTTCGACAAACTAAAATAATCGCTAGCTTGCGAATTCATATTGAAAGGGTAATTAGGCGAGTAAGAGAATTCCATATGCTAAAGCAACATTCAGTGATAAATACTAACATATGTCGTGTACTTGATCATGTCATTATTATTGCATGTGCTCTAATAAATTTGCAGGATTCTCTTATTAAATAATGTGAAATCATAAATAATAAAACAAGAAATACATCATGATTTTTATCGGCTGATATTGAAGCTATATTTGTTTTGCAAAAGAGAGCCATACGGGCGATTTATAACCTAAATTGTAAAGAGTCCCTCAGAGAAAAATTTAAAGAAATAAGCATATTAACTTTGGCATCGCAATATATTTATGAGAATGTAATGTATGTGCATAAAAACATAAATAGCTTTAATAAGAATAAGGATGTGCATACTTTAAATACTAGGAACAAACATAAGCTTGTAATGCCAGTAACTAGACTCCACAGAATCAGTAATTCATTTATGGGGCAATGTATACGCTTTTACAACAAAATCCCAGAACATGTTCAAAGTTTGTCAATAAACAAGTTTAAAAGTTTTATTAAAGAAAAACTGTACAAAAAGGGTTATTATAATATCAAGGAATACATGAATGAAAATAACCCCTGGGAATAGGGTGATCGCCACCATGCTGGTTCTATGAAAAATCATTTAAAAATTGTATAAATAAATTATTTTTAAGTGAAATTATGTTTAAAAAAAAAGTCCCGCTGGGTTTCTTGCTGGTTCTTCCCAGGACTGAGGTATTTTCCGAACCAGTGGTAAATAAAAAATTACTTTCAATAAGTATTATGTAATAATCAACATTGAATAAAAAATTATTTTATTCTATTCTTATTCTATTTAATCATTATCACTGAAAAGGAAAAACGGGCCTCCATCGCCCGTCCTGCGGCAGAGATCAACCAATTAGTGTCCTATTCACAGATCCTAATACCACACGACGTTGGGTTCCCTGACCCCTGAGTAGGTGTGCAACTCGGGGCAACATAAAAATTTTCAAATATTTAGCAAAATATAACAATTTTACAAGCTATTTTTAGAGTCATAAATCTTAAATATCTATCACACACATTCAAAACAATGATCTTTATTAATAAGCAAGAATATCTTAATACAATTGTTTAATTCAAAAATTAAAACTTTTAAGCAGTATTAAAACTCTTTATTTTTTTTTAAAAAATACTAGTAATGCTATTAAACCTTTCTAATATTCCCTTTAACCACTTCTGGTAAGCTTAAAATGCTTGTGTTAGAAGTGGTTCACGACAGTAATCGAATGGCGGATTCGAACCCACGACCTTACGAGTTCGCGGTCCGCGCCCTGCCATTAGGCTACTGACGCTTCTAAGCTTCTTCTTCTTTATTTCAACTATAATTTTTATTTAATATTATTAATGTATTATAATTTTTATATATTAATATTATTCTAGCCATAACACAACACATTTCTTATCTTATTATTCTATACAATAATCCTGTAACATTTATTACAATACTAATTAAATCTCTAATTTATTTAATACATTTACATGTTATTGAAACTTTCATAAAATAATTGTTTCTTTAAATGCAATTTTTTTTTTAAATTTTAGTACATTATTGATATGCCAGTTCTAATCCCATACAAAATGAACAACCAATTTCTACATGACCCTCAGCATCACGGTAGGTGGCTAGAGTTATCTCTATCTAATATTACAGCTATCTCTGTTCATTTAGCCATTATGTAACTTATCTCTTATCATAAGAACATAACATGTTTTCACTCAAACAAATGTCTTATACAATGCAATTCTTTTATTCGTATTACATACCTGATTACTACATAACGCGTGACTTAAGTTAATTTATAAACAGATTTTTGACAAGCGGGGATTTATATCATTATATTGAATTTATTTACTTTTAACATATATTATTTTTTAATATGAAATACATTTGCTTTTTACATAAATTGTTATTAATTCAAATATGTGGAGTGGATAAAAGTGGAAAAATAATAAACATTAAAGCGTGTCGCCAACAATCACAGACTGGTACCATACAAAATAGGGTAAATATTTGTTTGCCAAAAAGTAGCTAACTTTGGTATTAAGTTATTAACATAATCACTATCATATGTCACTAAAATAATGTCAACATTTTTCGTTTCTTCAAAGTTGCTATCAGCAACACAAAAATAGCTCTTTTTTACCCCTGTTGCATACATTTGCAGATGCACCTGTGCCTTACATTTTTCTGTGATAACACCGTTTTTCAAATAACTGTCTTTTGCTTTTGCCTTGCTAGGGCATTTTATTTCAATAACGGCACCTTTTATTAAACCATCAGGTGATGCCGCAATCATGGGATTCTCTTTGCACACATAAAGCCCACATGGGGTGATTTTTCTTTTCAATATATTACTGACTGTCTTTCGGACAGACAGTTCTAAATTTCTACCTCTTCTCATTGCAGCTGTATCAGGTATTTTTGCCCCCATGATAGAAGCCACCAATGAACCATCTGGTGTATGACAAACACTTACTTCATGTGCCCTTGAAGCTGTGATACGGCCATATCGCATCTCATACCACAAGCTGCTTTTGTTCTGCCTCCTTGTTGCTTCTTCAATAGTACTTATCACAGCTTCAGTAAATGTTGCTTTCATCACGTCAATAAACTTGTCTACATCTGCTTTAATTTCTGGAGATTGGTCCATTACTAAACAGTGCAATGAATACTGCATCACATTACTATGCTTAAAATCATGCTGATATTTTAGCAATTCACAGTTATCAATTTTTCTCTTTTTGGCTTCTGAAATAAATTCAGTATAAAGTGCTGATGAACTCGGTCTGTGAGGTACTTCTTTTTTAGACATCTGCTGCACAGTAATATATTTTAGCGTAGTCCCTACTTTGGACAATGTAGGCTTTTTCCAATAGCACTCTATGGAAGTACATGCAGGTTCATCAGAACGGCGAAGGACCCACATCAAAAAAGCAACTGCATGCTTGCATCCTCCAGCTGAAGCAGCACAGTCGTGGCATTGACAGCTCATAATTTCGCTGTCATTTTCATTAATAATCATCGTCACATTATATGGTTTGGTTCTAACTTTATGCTCTGGGCACATTTTACACTTAACTGTACAAACCCCATGCTCCCGTTGTAGTTGGACATAGCCAATCGCATCGTCTCCATAGGATTCCCTTGCAGACCTGTAAAACAAAAGTAAAGCCCATTACAAAGAGAATTTACAAGAAATTTCTAACTATATCAACATAACCTAAAATGAGATATTACAAAACTTCTGAATGACAATCATATTTATAGGTTTGTAAATAAATAATTCGTACATAGTACTTACACTGCTGTTTTCACATTCTTATGTTCTGCAGCATAGTAATCAGCGTTATTCTTAAAGAAATCTGCAACCATAAATCCGTCTATCTTAGGCAAGTTGCTGTTATCGGCTTGCACAAAATTTGATTCCATTTTGAGATACAAAACGAATATTTATGCCGCTAGTTATCAAATTTATCAGAAATACTAATTCAGAAATAGCTCAAAGATCGAATATAGCACCCAAAAACGTAGAACTCGAACTACAATCACTCAAAGCAGCTATGTTTACTCGCGTGTGACGTCACCAGAGTCGAAACCAATCACAGGGCGTTCTCGTTACAGATAAAATTTAAAAAAAAAATTATGTTTTATTTTCGTTTATTTTGCATAAAATATAAATATCTTAGGTTAAAATAAAGTGAAATATATTTTTTTACCCTATTATCTGATAGGATGACCACAATTTATAGTATATTTTCAATGTTGTCAAATAGCCTATTAGGTACTCAGTTACTGACGCCATAGTTACAGATTTATTATTTGATTTTTCGATTTTTTCAATTTCGATTTTTTCGCGTATAATGCCAATGATCTTAAAAAAAGTTCAGTGTAAGTAGACCTCCCAGTGGTAGTGACTGCCCACTAATGCAAGATCAGCATACACTGGTTAGTTGTTTAATAATTATCTTTTCCACTCTTTCATTAATAATGAAGTCGCGTATCGCCTGTTTGTAAATAGCAAGAAATGTGAAACAGACAAGTGACGGCTCCGAGGCGCAGTGGTTTAGTAATCAGTTGCAGCGCTAAGAGCCGCGGGTTCGAATCCCGGTTTTATGTATGTAAACTGTCAGGAAAATCCTAGTGTGGAGGTAACGTTTTTTAAAAAGAGAGGAAGAGTAAGTAAAATTAAAAATGTTGCCTATAACCGACTTCTTTTTTTTTTATAGAATAGGGGGCAAACGAGCATGCGGCTCACCTGATGGTAAGTGACTACCGCCGCCCATGAACAACCGCAACACCAGGGGAATTGCAGATGCGTTGCCGGCCTTTTAGAAAGGTATAAGTTCTTTTCTTGAAGGTTCCTAAGTCGTATCGGTTCGGAAAATTCGCTGGTGGTAATTGATTCCACAAAGAAGTTGTGCGAGGGAGAAAACTTCTTCTAAATCGCACAGTGGTGGACCGCCAATCATCCAGATGGTATGGATGGTAACGCGAGTTTTGTCGCGATGGACGATAGTGAAATTGAGCGGCTGGAATTAATCCGAACAATTCCTCAGAGCACTCCCCGTGATAGATGCGATAAAATAACTTCAATATTAATACGCATTATTAAGGATAACTCCAAAACTACTGTTTTTTTTTTGCATAAAATTATAAATACTGCGCCTGCCTGTATAATAACGTCACTTGAAGATATATTGTTGCCAACAAAACTGGTGGAGACAGCAAGTTGTCAACAAAAATGTTTCAAAATGTTGGCTCAATTTTCAATTCGGTGCGGAAACATCGGAAACAAATGTTGGTAACTTTTGTTGAGTTGCAAACAGTTGGAAACATAAATATAGTCAACATTTTTGGTGGATACGCAGCTAAAGATTACATTAGATATGTATTCACAGACTAATATAATACTTTAGGCCGGCCACACACATACGGAATCCCGTTTTGCCTGCAAAATATCGAACGGAAAACTACCGTACGTGTGTGACGGGTCATAGATTTTATATGGATTTGCTGCGTTCGGAATTTTGAATTGGAATATCGAAACGGATTTCGGAAACGGAATTCCGTATGTATGAGTTCGGCCTTAGTTTCTGTTAGCATCATTGCTCTTTGAGTGTTTGTTTGTATGTCACTGTCAATGTCAAAAAGTAAATTGATAAACTGTTCCTGTACCTGTATAGGACAATAACAAAACAGTTATCTGTGGACAATAAGACGATTACTAATTAGTAATTACTATAGCTCTTTGATAAACTGGTATAGAAATAATAAATTCCCAATACATACATAGCTGCTCGATTTATAGAATAATTAAGTATACTAATAGAATAACATGGACGTTGTAGAATAATTAGCCCTATATTATGTAGTATGTTCCTACATAGCTTTTATCTCAAAATAATAAAATATTGAATGGTATTATTTATTATAAGTAACTAATAGTAATTTGTACAATATTTCATTTATATTGCTGTATTTCTTTAATAACTTTTTTATTTATTTTGCAATGTGTTTTTAAAATTATATTGTTTAGAGGAGCCATCATAATACTGCTATTTAACAAGTTTCTCTTGTGAGCTCGTTGTAAGTTTAATCATAATGGATTTACTAAAAACCCCTTCTATTCAGTCATTGTTAGATTCGGACTTGGAATCCGTTGAAAGTCTTAATTATGTAGACATTGAAGAGGTAATCCAATAAATTGCAATAAAATTATTTTGGTTTGTGAATATATTTTAAATTTTAAGTTAGTAATTCATTTCAACTAATTTTAATTGCAGCTCGATGAGGTTGAATATGCACTGCCTGCAAGTGAAGCACCAACATTGGCTGAAATATTGTCAGCTGAAGATGTGGAAACTCAACACAAAGAAACAATTAACAGTGTTAAAGAGCCTGTTTCATGTTCTGCTCTTCAAGTTGATTTCTTACAGGCTATTTCTCAGCAAGTACTCCAGGCACAAGTATGTATATATTATACAATATTTCACTAAGTCTCACATGTTGTTTCAAAACCTAGAACCTAGACCTAGTTGTAGTATAGACCATATTTTAGCCAAGCTTATATTTCTTTGTTATTAATTTTCTGTGAGTTATCAGAATCATGTTTTCTTAACCCTTTACTTGGCAGATATTTTTTTTTCTTATTTTATTGGATTTCTTTCAATCAGGGTGTTTAATTGGGTAAATAAAAGGTGAATAAAATATTAAAAAAAATCTTTTGCTTTTAGATATTTTTTTATTGAACGTATCCTGCAGTGCACACTGCCAGGTAAGCAACAATTTACATTATAAAAAGTACGTATCCTGACAGATACAGTGCCAGGTTTACACTGTAACAAAAAATAGATTCTAATTGTAATTAATTAACAATTGTTTTTCATTTTTATTATCAAATAAACAGACTTATAATTATGAGATCACGTTATATAAACATACAATAAAAATTATTTGCTTTATAATACTATTTGGTATGATATGCATGAAAACAGTTGCGCTCTTTTACCAAACAAAGTCTTAATTTACATTTTTAACAATGATTTGGCCTTTTGTCCAATTTTTGCACCTGTCTTTAGATTCAAATACTGGCATATGCCCAACTTGGTCATATCATATAGCGTCAATGGGTCTCTCTGGAGCTGGTTTTTTTTTATTAGGGGTACATAATTTTTGAGTTTATTGGCAGAAACGCCTCTGTCAAACAAAAGTAGGCTTCGGTAAATTTCATATCTGAATTCTTTCAATGGCATTAATTTTGCCTTATTTGATGCACCTCGTCGGTACATAAGCCAAGCGTTATTTACGTATATATCAAGGATTTGCGAAAACAGAGGTAGATACCAGCGATGTCCCTCGAATTCTGTTCTGTATAATGCAATAAGCATATCCGCTAAATCCACGCCAACCATATTGGAGTTGTACTCCTTTATCATTCGTGCTCATGGTACTTGTATTTTCTTTCTCAGTACATTGTTATACAGTAGAACAGTTTAGAGAGGATGTGAGTCTACGTATGTGCTTGCAACAGTGTGTGTAGCAAAAACAACCTTGTTTTTGTTACACACAACCTGAGCATGTGAACCTAACTTTCTTTTTTATTTTTTTATCAGTAGGAAGTTTCTCCTGTGCTCCACGAAGTCGGTTGAATCTAACAGTTCCCAAAGAAAAAATACCGTATTCATTTCTCAGTCGGTGCGTTAATTCAATTGAGGTAAAGAAGTTGTCAAAGCACAAGATTTTACAAGCAGGCTGGCAAATGGATTTGGTTAGAGCTATGACGACTTTTGCACCTAATCCCATGCTTTCTTCTTCTTCGGTAAACAAAATGAACTGGAATATATCTTCCCCTCCATATATCAAAAAGTCATATACAATGCCCGAAACACCCTGGCTTTGGTGAACTAATTTCAGCAGATTGTAACAGTAAAATTGATGATGATTGCCTTGGTGACAAAATTGATGGCGAAGCGCAAGTATCACTTGCAGGCTATGAGTATAGTTGCAAAGCTGGAGAATTGTGCGTTATTTCATTTATCTCTTTATTGCTATCCGATAATAGGTTTAGATCCAACAAAGACGACAGCAAAGATGGAGGTGGAGAGCTACTGTCTAAAAGGGTTGGAGGGATATACTTATATAACTCATCAGCTGAATCATCACTGCTACCTACGTCTGATCTAGCTCCAGATTTTGGAACTAGGGCGAGAATTCTGCGGGCTCTGTTTAGTTGTTGACGAAGCTTTTATTGTGAAATCTGGAAACAAACATTTATTATCGTACAGCTTATCTTAAATAAGTATGAGCATTTGTACCAAAGCATACATAATTATAAAAAATATATATCTATCTACTACAGTTACTGTACAAGTGTTACACAAATAATTATTTTTTTTTAATTTATTTAAATGTGTTAATTAGGAATATAAAAAATCAATAATTTCTTTTTTGCATAGACATTGCATATCAAAATTTTTTTTTAAATATATACACATTCACTGATAAACTGGCAGTGTATCTTCATAGATACATGTCAAAGTAGCACTAGTTTTTTGCGTAGCTGGCAGTGTATACTCAGAGATACATATGGACAAACTGAGTCGTAACATCGAATATATAAAGTTTTGGTATCAAAAAACTACATCCAGGAATAATATAGTATTACTGCATTTACTTTCACTTCAAATAATAATCAAAAATGCATAAAAAAGTAGCAAAATACATAATACTTACCGGCTTGTGCGTAGACGTCTGCTTACGGTCCACCATCTTGCGGGCTACTGACAGTTCAGTATTACCAGCAATAAAACTATAAATCCTATTAAATATCATAGTTCATAGACTAACTTATTACAAGAAAATCTATGTCGAAATTTGTTTAGTTTTCCTACAATCTTTTTTTAAAGAGCAGTGTATCCACTGATGCACTCTGCCAAGTTAAGGGTTAAGTAAATATCAAAATCAAGAAAAGAAAAATTGAGAGTTACATTCATCATCATCATCATTATAGCCTTTTACAAATCCACTGCAGAACATAGACCTCCACTACATGTGCCATGCTAGATGCATCTATCGACTTCATGCATCTCTTACCATAGTAACATAACATTACATAGTAACAATGTTATTTCATATTAAATTGTTCATTTTAATTATGTATAAAGCACTTAAAAAATGGCAACACGGCAGAGTAGGGAGAAAATGGGAGAGGAGGGCGGTAAGAAATCTCCCTCTGGAGAAATAAAAGTGTAGGAAGCATAGATTTCAAGGAAATTTGATCTTATGTGTGCAAAAACCTCTTAAATTGAAGCAAAAATTGTAGAAGGTAGGAGATATTAGAAGAAGGAGGGAAGATCTCTCCAAGGAAGATTCAAGGAAGAAGAAACAATAAGCTTTTAAAAACCTAATTAATTTAAACTAAACTTTTAGATAATATATCTAACAAGAATTTAAAGTTCTATTAAGTAAAAAAAAGGTTGTTTTACTAATAAGGTGTATATGATTGAGAATGAGGTGACCACTACAATGTTGTTTATGAAATGTTTTCATATTTAATATAATTATATTAAATATATTCGCTCTATTAAAAATTGAACCATATCAGTTTGGGTTGATAAATAATTAAAAAATTATAAATGTCACAGTCACACTGCAGCTATGTTATAGTTATAGCACAAATGAGTCAACTCAAACTGGAAAGTACCAAGGAGTTTAATGCTACTGTGTTTTGAATGGGGATTGTAGAGAACCAGAGACCGTTTATCCTGGAAGCGAGGCATTCCATATTAATCCTCAGGGGTGACAACACATTCACATTTTGATTCTTAATTGACGATAAAGGTAAATGTCTATGCATCCACCTACCATATGGTGGACCGTGTGCTCATTTGTTATCCTTATTCTATTAAAAAAATCACTATCATTTGCACAAACATTACAGCCCATCACAAGTTCACTGCTGAAATAAGTTTTCCCTTTAAATTGCCATAACTAGTACTGACGTGTCTGGTCCTGAGCCACCTGCATCCATTGACTACCTGCATGTTTCATCAGGTACTCATACACTAGGCTATGTTAGTTACTCTTATTTGCAGAAATTCTCATTATGAATTTTAATTTCCAAAAAAATTTGGAGCACAGCTCTTTTCATCACATGCTGAAAGACAGAGCTTTCTCATATGCCCGGCAATGAAGGACTACATTTCAGCTCCATAAGCCATTACAGGCAACACTTACTGGTTTACAATAAGAAATTTTTCAAGATGATGAATGATTGATTCAGTTCAGTTGAGTTCAATTATTAACTCTGACTACTATGCGACGCGGACGATGTAGGTGCTGTGAATGTACGAAATGTTTTCCGAGCTCCACGCGGACAAAGCCGTGGGCAAAAGCTAATTTATTATATATACTACATTTTTAACTGATTATTTTTGTTTGTACATTACATACATTTTTACGTGGTAGAGCCATGCTGCAGCTATATTAGTATTATTATTAGTAGTAGTCGACCGGGGAAGGACCACGCTCTCACAGAAAACCAGCGTAAAATAGCAGCTTAACCCTGCTGTGTTTCGTATGGTGAGTGCAGAGAACCGGAGACCATTTTTACTGGCAAAGAGGCATTCCATCTTAGTCCTCACGGGTGACAACGCATCTGCATCTTGAGTCTTTATTGAGGATAGATGTAGATGTCTATGGGTCACAGTATCCACTTACCATCAAGTGGACTATGTGCTCGTTTGTCACCCTATCCTATAAAAAAAGAAACATAATATATTTTTTCAATTGTTAAGCTATTTTAATGATTTTTTTAATAAATAGATTACCTCAGGGGCTATGTCTTTAGGGGTGGTCGCATATAAATTTGGAAAAAAAATTAAAGCGGTTATGTGGGATTTATTTTATTATTTTTAGTTCTTCAAGGTCAGATTTTACTTTTATTTTAAGTTTAATTTTAGCTACTTAATATTTAATTTTTTATATTCCACAAATATATATTTTCAAGAAGTATGTAACCACATACTTCAATTTGAATTATAGTATGTAAATTACCTTATTTTTGAACATCTGCCCTGGCTTCCCACGGTTGATTTCTGGATATCGAGAACAACGCCACCTACCGGGTCCAATTGTGAATCTAAACCATTCTCTTATGAAATTAATCACACACAAAATACATGGGCAGAAGAATTATATTATAATATAAAATATGCAAGGTTTATATGTATAATACATAAAATATGTATTATACATATAAACCTTCTTAAATCATTTTCTCTATTGATGAAAACCGCATCAAACGCCGTTGCTTAGTTTAAAAGATCTAAGCGTACAGGCGGCACTAAGCGACTTTGTTTTATCCTATGTAGAGATGTATTGTATGTTTAAAACATACATTTAGGATGCTTTTCATATAATTTTGCATGCGTGCTTATACTGAGTAGACATGATAAAGTGTGCGTTTTATTTTGCTCTATCTGAAACATTCTAAACTCTATAAGAAAATGTGATCCTCCACATGATACTTTTCCCAGCATTACGTACCCTTCTGTATCTGAAACGAATACGATACAAAAGTAAAGTAACAGTCTATATACGTCCTACTGCGGGGCACAGGCTTCCTTTTATTTCTGAGAGGGTTTTAGGGCAAGGAAATGTCAGCCGCGCTGCCCCAATGTGGGTGAGCGAACTTCACATGTCTTCGAATTTTTTTTCTTATTCCTCAGTCATGCAGGTTTGCTCACGATGTTTCCTTCACCGAACCGCCCTTATATTGTTAACTAAGGCGTACCGATCCACTAGCACGGCGGCCTTGCCGGTGCTGGCTGGTGTTCTTCCTGCTGACCTGGAGGTCATTCGTGCTGGTAAGATGGGTATAGCACGTATGAACGTGCCCAAAGAGGAGTTGAGCAGACGGAAATGTGAAATTTGGACTGAGGTGATCGGTGTATGGCAGGATCGATGGATGAATGAATAAAAAGGACGCGAGCTCTATCGATTTTTCCCGGAGGTGGCGTTGAGACTTAGGTATACCTGGGTCTCACCAGACTATCAAACCTCTCAGATTCTCACCGGACATGGATGCTTTCGGAAGAGACTGAGTGAAATGCGACTGTGTGATACTAGTATGTGTGAGTGTGGTGCGATAGAGGAGGACGTTCACAATGTTCTATGGGAATGTCCTCTGTATGACGACCTAAGAGCGAAAATGATGGATGGACTAGTTCGTTCGGTTCAGGGGCCGATCTATTACTCGGATCTCGTCAGCGGCGGGGTGAACTACGGGTTGTTGCGCGAGTTTGCGCACAGATGGCATGACCCCAGGAGGAGAAAGGAAAGAATGCTGGCAGAAAGGACTGACGATGTAGGCGTCAGTGTGCCGTCAGCCCCAGAAGGGGGAGAATGACGTAAAACTTGGACAAGGAACAGATTAAATATTTGTAGGGAGTCAAGAAAGTGCGCGCGGGAAAGAGCCACGTGCAAGTACCGCGCGCATCTCCCGAGATTCGGCCCGTATGACCTGAGGGTCGGTGGGGCCATGGGAGGTGGTGGGTTTCCTTCGCCGCTGAGAACGTGCTAAATCAGCACTTAAAATTGCAATTAACAAATTCATTGGTGCCGCCGAGGATCGAATCTGGGCGAAATTCACAGCGAGCGCTAGCCCCTGAGCTATAAATACGACACAAATAAATACGATTCACAATTATAATAAAAACCCTTACGTACATAAAACTTGATAGCTCGTGATGCCTACCGGACGAAGCTACAGCAGCACACAGTACATTAACAACGTTTTCTTCAACAGAGCCTTTAATAAAAAAAATCTAGTTGAGCTCGAATATTGAATAAAAGTACAGATAAAATTGTTAAATAAACATTAACTCTTTTTATGGGGAATGAGGCATTCTATGCGAGTCCTGAGGGCTGAAAATGCATTTGCATTTTCTTAATCTATGGGCACATAGCTTACACTTACCATCCGTGTATATATTTGCTTCAGTTGCTACCCTAAAATATTTTGTGGTTTTTTTTTTTCAGGAAAGGTCACTAGCAGGTGCAGCCACAGCACTAAGTGTTGGTAATAATGGAAAAACAACTGTTGGCACAGCCCATGGACATTTGTTGTCATTCCAAGATCAAACCTTACGGTGGGTCTGTGATGCAAATGAAGATTGCGGGGCAGTTACTTGTTTAGCGTATAACAACGACTGTACTCGACTATTGGCAGGCTTTGCACGTGGTCTTGTTTATCAGTATGAAAGTATTAGAGGAGTAATTTTAAGACGTGTAACTCTTGGTGGCGAAACATGGGGTATATTACGGGTTACATGGGCTGGCACCTCAGGCCTCGCACTCGACACAGGTGGCTCTGTGTGGTTGATGAAATTCTCGCGGCCTCTTGGTGTGCGCTCTGCTCGTGTATCGTGCCTTTTTTCTGGTGCTCGTGGCGAAGTAGTTGCAATGACAGCAAGGGATGCTCGTATTTTGGCACTAGCAACACTTTCACGTGTCATTATTGTGGCCGGTGGTCGTGCTGCGGGTGTACGATTAAATGGACCGCCTGACACACTTCCAGTTTTAGAATGGTGTGAATTTGACAATAGACTCCTGGTTTGTGCCCGAGCCAATTTATTACAGTGGCTGTCTATCAGCATAACCGGCTCGAATATTTCTCTGTGTCCAATACAAAAAGTGGAACTGAAAGCAACGCCTCTTTGGATGGGCTGGCTCGGTGGTAGTCTGGCTATATTTGATGCTAATGAGAGTCTACGATTATGTGGTGATGATTACGATAAGCCATTGGACCTTTGTCACATAGAACCCGTGTATTCTTCAGCATTTTTCAAGGTATGAATTATTATTTTATACATACCTTCATATTGGCCGTATAGTGACGGCGCAAGAGAATCCACTACCACGTATCATCCCGTGCGTGTAGTTAGAAGCGCCAGGGGGAAACTGAAACCGCGGTTGCCAACCGGCCTGCCAAGCGCCTTAACTATGGCAAATATCCCTCCTTGGAAGCAAATAATGGCGGAGGTCTAAGTTCAGCAGTTAAAGATTGATAGACTATAATGAATTAATTAATCCTTATATATAAAATTATGTGTCACATTGTTTGTCCGCGATGAACTCTTAAACTATTGAACTGATTTCAATGAAATTTTGCACACTGTGTGCAGTTTGGTCCAACTTGAGAAATAGGATAGTTTTTATCCCGATAAGTGGTCCTCAATTTTTTTATTGCGAATTTAAGGATCTTTATCGGACAAAGGTTCGTCGAAAATAGCAGTACGACGTCTGCCTGGCCAGCTAGTTAATGTATAAGTATACCCATATAAATATACCAAATGATTAGCTACTTAAGCCTAATGATTAAAACTATAACCTCATAAGTTACTTTATGTGCTTAGATGTATTATTATGCAGATAAAGTAACTTGAAGACCTAGCGAGGGTAACACTAAGTACTGATTATAGCCCACGTTATCCTTTAATAAAAAAAATTAATTAAATGTTAAGTATAAAAATGTTTCTTTCCTGTAAATATTTAATTTTTATCTTAATTCGGTTACTTTTAAATTAACATATAATAATATATCCATGATATAAATAATATATCCATGATATTTTGATTTATACACACTGCGTTCTTTTACATTTCTTGGTGAGTATAGAATGTAAAATGAAGTAGTATTTCGCCATGAATTGAATCGAATGACTTTAATGACACGAACATAATAAAATAATAAATTATCATACGCCGATGTGATAAATATATTTATTTTTACTATACAAAAAGTAAAATTTTTACTGTTTAAGTTCCTCTATTCAGATAAAAAAGAAACAATAAAAAGGACTGCAGTCCACAGATATTCCCTTCTTTTGTAGATTTTTCTATATAAAGGCAACTGAAACACGCGAAGGTCACATAAGAAAATATAAAAACGTAACTGTGTCTTTCAGGGCCTGTGGACGGACGGTCGTGTTTCTCTTGCTATGTGTAAAGCTGGTGAAAGCGCGTTAGCTGGGATATGCGTTGCTGAAGGTGCGTTATCATTACTTGGTCGTAAAGGAATCGTGCGAGTACGGCCACGCGACTTGCTCGCTAGAACAAAAGCATTCATTGGATCGGGACGGCATTTGCAAGCCTTAAGATTGCTCTGCACTACACAAGGACCAAACGCTAAAAAATTAGCCATTGACGTCATTAATATGATATCAGAAAGACCTCACATAATGAACAATAAGAATGTAGCCATGCAAGCGATCAAGTTATGTTTGAAATATAATTTATAGTAAGTCACTAGTAAAATAGAAGTAATTCTATTAAATGTACACTGCTATTTTACAAAAAGATCTTTACTTTTTAGTGAAGCACTATGGTCTAGTCTATGGGAGAATTGTTCCAGTGAAAAGGCATTTGTGGAAGCCTTAGGCGATGCTGTTGTGCGCGGGGAATTATCTGATACGCCGCCAACACCAGATTATACGCAGGTATGTAAATTATTTTATTAAATGAAAAGATAAAAGATTGAAAACAAGAGAAAATTCCAATTATTTTTTTATGTGGGCTGGCTGATCTGATTTGTTTTTAATGAGAGTGACACTATCCTGAAGTTTCTCACCAGAGCTTGTAATTATAATAGTTCTACCCTTTAACCTTTTGACCGCCAAAGTCGCCTATACTTGACCAGCACCTGCGGGCCCTGAGCGCCAACGACATCTATAGTTGACAAAAAAACCGGCCCACAAAAATATGAAATATAGATATTGGAAAGTTATTACTGGTATTTTAATTCAACACTCCTCAAAAAAGAATAACCCAGCAACATGTGAGTATAAAAAACAAGTCTCCTAGAGCCACAAGTACTAGCAAATACTATGTCCAGCACGCCAAAGTCGTCTATGGTTGACCGCTAGTGTCGTGCGCGGGAGGCATAGATTCCTTGAAAACTAGCCAAAATTCAGCTCAAACGTGTTATTTTTTTTCTATTATTATTGATATTTGAATAAAACAAAAGGTTAGAAACATAAAACTATAATTAGCTACATGAATCAAAAAATGTTATCAAATCATCTTCGCATAATAAATCTAATATCTCAACTCTGGCGCATCCTTAGCGCGTCATCGAAAATTAAGTAACATTCATTGCTATGCGGATGACAGCACTTGTGATGCTCTATACACCGACCGTGCCAATATTTCTCGGGAAAACGTAGCAGAGTACTGGAAAAAACTTGTGTCTGAAGACTCAACTTTCGAGTTATTTATTTTAAAAAAGAAACATTAAAAAAGAAAGTTTCGGATTAGGGCTGACTAAATCTCTTATTTTTTAATCTTCAGAACAAGTTTGCGCGTTTACCGATAAAAAGAACCCCTTTGTCGTCACTCCCTTTGTTGCCTCAGCCAGTATCAGAATCCTTGGCGTCGACATAACGAGTGACGTGCAGTTTCGTGGTCGCTTGGAAGAGAATTGGCTTCTAAAAACCTGAGCGTGCTCAGCAGAGTGGGACAAGATTTCATGCCGGCACACCGCCTGCAACTTTGCAAGGCGTAGGTTCAGCCTCACATGGAATACTGTTCCCATCTCTGGGCTGGGGCTCCCCAGTGCCAGCTCCTTCCACTTGACCGCATCCAGCGCAGAGCGTCTCGAATCGTCAACGACCGAGTCCTTTCCGATCGGTTTGATTCACTGGCGCTGCGAAGAGATGTTGCATCCCTTTGCATTTTCTTTCGCGTCTACCACGGGGAGTGCTCTGAGGAATTGTTCGGATCAATCCTAATAAAATTTTACGAACGCACATCGCGGCAAAATTCCCGATACCATCCACACCATCTGGATATTTGGTGGTCCACCACTGTTCGTTTCACTAGGAGTTTACTTCCGCGTACGTACCTCTCTGTGGAATAGCTTACCACCGGCGATTTTTCCAGACCGATACGACTTAGGAACCTTCAAGAAAAGAAAAGAACTTACTCCTTTTTAAAATTCCCCTGGTGTTGCAGTTGGTCATGGGTGGCGGTAGTGACTTACCATCAGGTGAGCCGTATGCTCGTTTGTCCCCTCCCCTATAAAAAAGAAAATCTTTTCTCATTTCTGAGAGGAATTTAGGGTAAGGAAACGTCCGCCGCGCTGCTCCAATGCGTTTTGGCGAACTTCACATGTATTCGAAATATCTTTTTTTTTTTCTTATTTCTCAGACATGCAGGTTTCCTCACGATCTTTTCCTTCACCGCCGAGCACGTAGTAAATCAGTACTTAAAATTGCAATTAACAATTTCATTGGTGCCGGCGGGGATAGACTGTGATAAATTTACTGCGCGCGTTTAGCCCCTGAGCTACCACTAGTATAATTTCTATTTTGATTTTTTCCAAACCCTGTGAAATTGGGCAGGAACAGGAATGTGAAAACGAGTGAGTAGTTGTATTTAGTTTGCTGGAGCTACTATTTGACTTAGGGATCTTCAAGAAACGAGCTTACTCCTTTTTAAAAGGCCCGCAATGCACCTGCAATTACCCTGTTGTTGCAGTTGTTCATAGGTGGCAGCCATCAGGTGAGCCGCACGCTTGTTTGTTCCATCTTCTATAAAAAAATGGCAGGTACTTTCGATCCGATTATGTGTCAGAATAACATTGCGTGCTATACTTAAAAGGCCAAGATTTATAGAATGAGGCGGTATATTCAAAACTTGATCCACCGGCCTTCCTCGGGGCGAGCTCCAAAAATTGTTTGGCTTAATTCGTCCGTTAAGTCTCACCATCACACCTTATGATAACATTCACAATACCATCTACACCATTTAAATGTTTGGCGGTCGACCACTGTACGAATTTCCATAAGTTTCTGTTTTCTTCTATTTTGCACGACTATTTCTTTTTTTAATAAAATTGAAGTGAGAAATGAACTTGCAGTTCACATAATGGTAAGTATTGCAGATGATTGCAGAGGCGAAGGCAATCACTTAACATCGGGTGCATGCACGTTTGCCCCATCTTCTATAAAAATAGTATTAGTCTCATATATGTATTCTGATATACTTTCTGCTATCTGAACCATTGGCTAGTTCTGTTAACACATTATTTGTGAAACACAATCTGTATCTGACTAGTAAAGCCTGGTTAGATGCAGATTATGTGTTGCGTTTACCCGGCACGTAGAATAAATGACTCTGCTCTCTGCATTAGACTTTACTCAGTACGGAGAGACACCGCTGTTATCAAAAGACAAATATTCGAAACATGTTTATTGTTTATTAATGAATATAATATTATAGTAATATTGGGTTCGCGATACATGAAATTTCATTCACACAACAAATCAACACCAAATTCAGTAATATATATATATATATATATATATATATATATATATATATATATATATATATATATATGATAAATACATTTCCAGGAACTTATTGAGAAGTTAGCTGAATTCGAGCCAGACCTTGTAGAAAGGGTGGTAGCGTCACTTCCCTTAATCTCACTCGATCCTCATCGCGCCAGCGTTTTTACTCGGGAGAAGGGATTATGGCGTGGCGTGGGAGCAATTGCAGCAGCGTTAGGTAAATTTATTGTATTTTTTTACATAATAATAATAGTAACCTTTATTTGCATAAAACATGGTAAATAAACAGATGTTTTAGTTGTGTTCTACACATATGTTTTGCAATGTTAAAAATTAACAAATTACTATAGGACACTAAGAAATGCCTTAAAATTCTTAATTCTTCTGGCGCTTTGCCGGCCTTTGCTGGGGCACGTATTGTAGTCACCAGTAGGCTTAAGCTTCTCGTTTCGCTCGTCTTCGTACCTGTGAAATATGCCTTTGCCCTAGACTTTAAAATTACCTCACTAATATTGTTACGGAGCCACGGAACCTCAATTAATGTTGACGGCTCCGTGGCGCAGTGGCTTAGTAATGAGTTCCAGCGTTGGGGGCTGCGGGTTCGTATTGCGCATGGATTAAGTATTTACCTGGCCTACAAATAATTTTTCCCGGTCTGGACTCTGGATGTTTGTCCTTGTGTAATTTATGTTTGTAAACTGTCTCCACGATACAGGAGAAAATCCTAGTGTGGGGGTAAAGTTTTTTAAAATAAAAGAAAAAAAAATACATAAAGATTTCATTAAAATTTGCTCATATGGTTAAGATATTGCCCTTGAAAACCCCTAAAACATAAAGTTTACTGCGGGAAGCGATTGCACACACTTAAATCGGTTCAGCCTTTTCCGAGAAGTTGGTAAACATACATGAAAATAACATATGCGCCGAATATGGAACGTGCTCGTTTTTGAACTCTGCTAAAATTGTATAAGACTATTCTTACGGATTTTATCGAGTTTAATTTTTACTTATCTTTGATTCCCGACGTTTCGGGTGCTTTGTAGCACCCATGGTCACAGGGGGACTGAGGTGATTGACGTTGCGATGTTTAAGTTAACCCGGAGTGCCTTCAGTTTTTTAGTTATTATTATGGTCCGATCTACGCAAAATAAGTTAAAATTAAACGCGATAAAATCCGTAAAAGTAATTTTATTCAATGTGTAGTGTTCGCGTAAATACAAGAAGTCATTGTGTTAAAAATTGTCGTAGACGGGAGCAGCGGCGCGATGCGCACGCTGATGGCGTACGTGTCGGAGGAGTGCGGAGCGCGAGCGGGCGGGCGGTGCGCGTGCGCGGGCGGCGCGCTGCTGCTGGCGGCGGCGGACGCGCTGGCGGGCCGCGGCGCCGCCGGGCGCGCGCTGCCCGAGCACGCGCGGCCCTCGGCGCGCCACGACGCGCTGCACGCGCTGCTCGCACAGGTACGTGTGCGTGCTGCACGCGCTGCTCGCACAGGTACGTGTGCGTGCTGCACGCGCTGCTGGCGGCGGCGGACGCGCTGGCGGGCCGCGGCGCCGCCGGGCGCGCGCTGCCCGAGCACGCGCGGCCCTCGGCGCGCCACGACGCGCTGCACGCGCTGCTCGCACAGGTACGTGTGCGTGCTGCACGCGCTGCTCGCACAGGTACGTGTGCGTGCTGCACGCGCTGCTGGCGGCGGCGGACGCGCTGGCGGGCCGCGGCGCCGCCGGGCGCGCGCTGCCCGAGCACGCGCGGCCCTCGGCGCGCCACGACGCGCTGCACGCGCTGCTCGCACAGGTACGTGTGCGTGCTGCACGCGCTGCTCGCACAGGTACGTGTGCGTGCTGCACGCGCTGCTGGCGGCGGCGGACGCGCTGGCGGGCCGCGGCGCCGCCGGGCGCGCGCTGCCCGAGCACGCGCGGCCCTCGGCGCGCCACGACGCGCTGCACGCGCTGCTCGCACAGGTACGTGTGCGTGCTGCACGCGCTGCTCGCACAGGTACGTGTGCGTGCTGCACGCGCTGCTGGCGGCGGCGGACGCGCTGGCGGGCCGCGGCGCCGCCGGGCGCGCGCTGCCCGAGCACGCGCGGCCCTCGGCGCGCCACGACGCGCTGCACGCGCTGCTCGCACAGGTACGTGTGCGTGCTGCACGCGCTGCTCGCACAGGTACGTGTGCGTGCTGCACGCGCTGCTGGCGGCGGCGGACGCGCTGGCGGGCCGCGGCGCCGCCGGGCGCGCGCTGCCCGAGCACGCGCGGCCCTCGGCGCGCCACGACGCGCTGCACGCGCTGCTCGCACAGGTACGTGTGCGTGCTGCACGCGCTGCTCGCACAGGTACGTGTGCGTGCTGCACGCGCTGCTGGCGGCGGCGGACGCGCTGGCGGGCCGCGGCGCCGCCGGGCGCGCGCTGCCCGAGCACGCGCGGCCCTCGGCGCGCCACGACGCGCTGCACGCGCTGCTCGCACAGGTACGTGTGCGTGCTGCACGCGCTGCTCGCACAGGTACGTGTGCGTGCTGCACGCGCTGCTGGCGGCGGCGGACGCGCTGGCGGGCCGCGGCGCCGCCGGGCGCGCGCTGCCCGAGCACGCGCGGCCCTCGGCGCGCCACGACGCGCTGCACGCGCTGCTCGCACAGGTACGTGTGCGTGCTGCACGCGCTGCTCGCACAGGTACGTGTGCGTGCTGCACGCGCTGCTGGCGGCGGCGGACGCGCTGGCGGGCCGCGGCGCCGCCGGGCGCGCGCTGCCCGAGCACGCGCGGCCCTCGGCGCGCCACGACGCGCTGCACGCGCTGCTCGCACAGGTACGTGTGCGTGCTGCACGCGCTGCTCGCACAGGTACGTGTGCGTGCTGCACGCGCTGCTGGCGGCGGCGGACGCGCTGGCGGGCCGCGGCGCCGCCGGGCGCGCGCTGCCCGAGCACGCGCGGCCCTCGGCGCGCCACGACGCGCTGCACGCGCTGCTCGCACAGGTACGTGTGCGTGCTGCACGCGCTGCTCGCACAGGTACGTGTGCGTGCTGCACGCGCTGCTGGCGGCGGCGGACGCGCTGGCGGGCCGCGGCGCCGCCGGGCGCGCGCTGCCCGAGCACGCGCGGCCCTCGGCGCGCCACGACGCGCTGCACGCGCTGCTCGCACAGGTACGTGTGCGTGCTGCACGCGCTGCTCGCACAGGTACGTGTGCGTGCTGCACGCGCTGCTGGCGGCGGCGGACGCGCTGGCGGGCCGCGGCGCCGCCGGGCGCGCGCTGCCCGAGCACGCGCGGCCCTCGGCGCGCCACGACGCGCTGCACGCGCTGCTCGCACAGGTACGTGTGCGTGCTGCACGCGCTGCTCGCACAGGTACGTGTGCGTGCTGCACGCGCTGCTGGCGGCGGCGGACGCGCTGGCGGGCCGCGGCGCCGCCGGGCGCGCGCTGCCCGAGCACGCGCGGCCCTCGGCGCGCCACGACGCGCTGCACGCGCTGCTCGCACAGGTACGTGTGCGTGCTGCACGCGCTGCTCGCACAGGTACGTGTGCGTGCTGCACGCGCTGCTGGCGGCGGCGGACGCGCTGGCGGGCCGCGGCGCCGCCGGGCGCGCGCTGCCCGAGCACGCGCGGCCCTCGGCGCGCCACGACGCGCTGCACGCGCTGCTCGCACAGGTACGTGTGCGTGCTGCACGCGCTGCTCGCACAGGTACGTGTGCGTGCTGCACGCGCTGCTGGCGGCGGCGGACGCGCTGGCGGGCCGCGGCGCCGCCGGGCGCGCGCTGCCCGAGCACGCGCGGCCCTCGGCGCGCCACGACGCGCTGCACGCGCTGCTCGCACAGGTACGTGTGCGTGCTGCACGCGCTGCTCGCACAGGTACGTGTGCGTGCTGCACGCGCTGCTGGCGGCGGCGGACGCGCTGGCGGGCCGCGGCGCCGCCGGGCGCGCGCTGCCCGAGCACGCGCGGCCCTCGGCGCGCCACGACGCGCTGCACGCGCTGCTCGCACAGGTACGTGTGCGTGCTGCACGCGCTGCTCGCACAGGTACGTGTGCGTGCTGCACGCGCTGCTGGCGGCGGCGGACGCGCTGGCGGGCCGCGGCGCCGCCGGGCGCGCGCTGCCCGAGCACGCGCGGCCCTCGGCGCGCCACGACGCGCTGCACGCGCTGCTCGCACAGGTACGTGTGCGTGCTGCACGCGCTGCTCGCACAGGTACGTGTGCGTGCTGCACGCGCTGCTGGCGGCGGCGGACGCGCTGGCGGGCCGCGGCGCCGCCGGGCGCGCGCTGCCCGAGCACGCGCGGCCCTCGGCGCGCCACGACGCGCTGCACGCGCTGCTCGCACAGGTACGCGCGACAAGAGCCAATAATAGGATAACCTGCCGTAAACTGAAATAATTTTATGTATGGAGCAAGTAGGTTAGCAGAGTGTATACGTGATAAATAACACATTCAATAATAGAAATTGCTTATAAATTTTATATTATTATTTATATACTTATTATTTTTATAATTCTACGATTCGACGATAGATAGTTTCTTTATTCTTTATTCGATACTCACAAATTACTCGTATTCACAAATAAGAAAAGTAAAAGGCGACAGAGGAATATAAAACAGAAGGTGAGCAGTAGCATTTTCCTAATAACAACTCAAAATAATAAAAAAATTGCAGTTACCAACAAGTTTCAGCTTCAACAGAACAGTTTTTTAACAGTAGTAGAGCCACGCGGCAGCTTTTGCTATCGCATGGATGGGCCGGCTCGAACCGGGGTGATACCACGACCTCACAGAAAACCAGCGTGAAGTAGAGGTTTACCTCTGCGTTTCGCTTGGTAAGTGCAGGTGGCCGGAGGCCCTTTTTACTGGAAATGAGGCATTCCATCTTAGTCCTCACGGGTGACAACGCATCTACATTTTGATTTGTAATAGAGGATAGATGTTCGTCGATGCTCGTTTGTCACCCTTATCCTATAAAAAAAAAGATGGGACTTTTAATAGATTGGCAATTGTAAACTAATGTAGCCTCTAAAATGTTGTGTTGGTGTTGCAGGTGGGGGACGGCCCGTCGCCGCTGGAAGTGCTGGTGCGTCACGAGGCGGCGGGCGCGGTGCGGCTGCTGGAGCAGAGTGCGCGCGAGCCGCCCTTCGCCGGCCCGCTCGCCAAGCAGAACCGCCTGCGCGTCGCCCGCGCGCTGCTCGCTATCACGCCCGGCGCACAGGTACTCGTCCCGCAGCACACCCAGCTGCCAGCACTCGGCACAGGCGGCCGGCGTGGTGCGGCTGCTTGATAAAGTTGGATAACTACTAAACATTAAAACGACTTATAACGTATTTTTTTATAGGATAGGGTGACAAACGAGCACACAGTTCACCTGATAGTAAGTGGTTGCTATGGCCCATAGATATCTACATTTATACTCGTTTGCGTATCAAAGTGCAAATGCGTTGTCACCCGTGAGGACTAAGATGGAATGCCTCTTTTCCAGTAAAAAGAGTCTCCGGTTCTCTACACTCACCATACGAAACACAGCAGCGTTAAGCTGCCATTTTACACTGGTATTCTGTGAGAGCGTGGTCCTCCCCGGTCGAGACGACCCATTCGTGCTACAACTATACTACTAATTTAGCTGCAGCATGGCTCTACCACGTGACTTTATATATACATTTAAGATTTAGTATTAGGTTTTATTTCAGTATTCAATTTGTTTATTACCTTCCTTACTTAAGCTACGTGGTTTTGTTATAAGTACCTTTCTAACAAAGACATTTAAGTAGTAGTAATAGACCGGGGACATCAGCAACAAAATGTCACCTCTTACTATAAGATATATTTCGGATTTGTGTCATTTAGTCTTAGTGACATCGTCAAAAGCTAAAGACGCATTGGTTTTCTAAGCTTGAAAAATATTTTTTATAGAAAATATGCCCGATTGTGCATTAAGGTATTGTAAATCCCGATATTGAGTAAAAACTGAATGTGATTTCGGTTTTTTTATCGTAAGTGTTACGGCCTACAGCTGCCCCTGCAAAGGTCGAATCTTCTGGGGTCCATGAGCAAAAGATTCCACGAGCAGCCGCACCCAAAACGAGCAGGTCGGGCCCAAAATGACCTCATGGAAGAATTTCCTATAACACTAAGCTATATGGGAGAGTGCTAGAAAAACATATTACGTACCAGTGGCAGAAGCTAACTTCGCACCAAGGCTCGGTCAGGCCGTGAGTGGGTGTGAGGTGAATGGCAGGTAGTGTTCAGTGATGTGTAAATGTGTGAGACCTTGACCACCTTAGGCGATCAGCAGTGGCCGAGTTCCAGGCTGCCCCAAAATGCTGCATCGCTCCAGCAGGCTCCACCGCTGGACCATTTCTTTCTTCCTTGTCACTATTTCAGTCTATTAGCTTCATTGCACATTTAACTAACTTAAACTCACCTAATTCCACATTCATCGTAGAATCGAACGCGTGATACCCGACACAGTAAGGACGGCAGTTCTAATTCGACATACAATGTCCCGGATTCACTTATCCCAAAATTATAGAGAGGGAATTAAAGCGATCTCTTAATGAGTCATACTATTCAGCGTTAAACACAACTAAGTTCCTTCATTCGACACCAAAACACCACGTTGCGAAAAGATTCAAAATACGCCTCGTTGACGCGTAAACTAACAAGCCAACATACACAAAAAAGGGCACTTAACGCGACGGCAGGATTATAATGATTTCCTGATGATCAACCGGGAGAAGCTCTCGAACAAGGAATGCACGTGTCGAATCCTAGACCGTATATCTACTCGACGCGCGCGTGCACAATTCCGCATCCCCGAACAAGTTAAATATTGCAAAATTCACATATCCACGTAAGGAAGTAACACGCCCTTAATCTAACCATCTGGACCCGACAACGGTCGCGCGAACTTCCGCCGCAATCACGAGCTACGCGGGTTCTCCCCATCGCGGCTAGTGGGCAACTCCTCTCATCGCGGCCCACGCGTCGAGCCACCGCAAGCCGCACACGGCCGTCCCACCTCGGCGCTTATCTCACCTACATACTATCGGGTGACGCGCCAGCTGGAACGCAATTGGGTGGCGTTCAACATGGCCAAATTTGGGCATAAACAGTAAGAATAATGTAATACCAATACCCAATAATTTTTAAATTTTATTATTTCTGGTAGATTGTTCTGGAACATTTATCGTTATTGTAATAAACGCCCTCTCTTATCCAATAACGTCATATTTTATTTACCAAAGAGTTAGTGATTGACAACGTTTATAGATTATTGTTATCGATAAAAAATATTGTACCGGATGCCGATTTAATCATCTACAATATTTAAGGAGGTGAAACAGTAAACTATACTGTACCGGTACCAATAAAGAAATCGGCTGGGCCTGTGTCGTACCGTGATAATTCAATTTTACATTTGGGTTGTTTGGGTTATAAATTAATATTTTTATTTCTTGTCGCAAAAATCATTTAAATAATACATGAAATTAAATGTTTATGAATGTTTAATTCAGTTCATTAAAATATTACATTATGATGACTTGACTATGATTTTAATTTTGAAACAATACAAATATAATTTTTTTATAAATCTTTTACAGTGGCGCAGCACTGGTCTCAAAAATATCACGGGGATAGCGAGGCAGCAAGGTGTTTAATTTCATCTTGCACTTAGTAACACTATATATTTCTGTTAATTTTTTGACATTAGTATCTACAACTGTCCACAATTAATTAAACGTATTAAATTTAATAGCAAAATCGAATTAACCTTGCAGTTTTTCTAGTAACATGAGCATTTCGGAATATTACGTGACGGCGCTGACGGTATTCACCTTCAAAATTCAAGATTCGTAATATTACGGCTATGGCGGTGAAAGGGTTAAAGAGCTTCTGAAGGACTTCAAGTACCGGTCTTCAACCTGCATTCAGAAGCTCCGCTGTAATTCCATCCTCGTCTGGGGCCTTGCCGTTTTTAAAGTGCTGGAGAGCCATTCTAATCTCGTCGCTCAGACTGACGTCCGGGATATCATCGGAATAGTGTCGGATAAGACTCGCTCTTGGATCGTTACTCACACTTACGTGTGGCTTCAACGATGATGTGTACAGCTGCCCATAGAACTTCTCAATCTCACTCAAAACCTCAGGTGTCCCGGAAACGACGCTGCCAAACTCGGTCTTCAGCTTCGACAGTTGGCACTTTCTGGCAGATAGATCTCTAGCAAAGACTTTGGAGCTCTGGTTCCGCTCAATCGCTTCTTCAATACGAGCAGTATTAAAGTTGCGTAAGTCCCTCCGCATGCATTTGGAGATCTGTCTGTTCAGTTGCCTGTATGCTGTCAAATCTACTGAAGACTGCATCTTCATATCCTGTCTAACAGCCATGAGATTAAGAGTGTGATCGGAGAGTTTTTGTGTTTTTCTCCGGCGAGTCTTGCAAAACTTATCTCCGACCGCATGGACAGTTTCCACGAGCTTGTCATTCATATCGTCCACTGCATTCTTCTAGGCACTGAACACGGTTTCGTAGCTCGAGCTGAAAGGTTTCGGGACTTTGGATTAGGGCACGAGGCGGACGGAGCGTTGACTTCATTAGACGTGACCTCGTCAACTTAACGTTTAGGTTCAGTGTCCCTCTCACCATTCGGTGGACAATAAATCCGACACCTTGGGACAGATGGTCGCCCTCCCGGTGATAGAACAAGTTTCCGGATACGAGGATTACCGTGTCCTCCCCTCACTTCGGACCTCGGATAATCCTGTGATATTCCAGCGCAACTTTCTATCTCTTCTTCCAAAAAAAAAAATAGATGAAAAATATTTTTAATAGATAAAAATAGATGATACTTTTATTATTATCATTCATTGATTTCCCCGGATATTACCGTTTTGGATAGCTGATTAAATAATACGTCACATTTTATGATCCATTAAGTGTAAAAATAGATTTTTTTTTATTATAACCCATAATTTTTTATTGTGAATACTTTTTGTACTTTTTATGATTGTATTCACTTGGTTGTAGCTATAGCTTCAAGAAAATAAGTATACTTAAAAGAAAGCATACAAAAAAAGAGTTTATTTTATTTTTATTTAGAATTTAATACGAAATTCTGTGTGATTATTGAAAAATCTAAAATCGGTATATCTCAAGACCTGTTCATTTTCAACCATACATATGGGGGGTAAAATTTGTAGCATTTTGACCATCCCTATCATGCCCTGCCAGGAAGTTGTCGAGTTCCCAGTAACCTGTATAATATGGTTATTAAGGGGGAGTAAATTAATCCGATTTTTGTGTTTGATTAATAAACATCGTTTCATATATTCTTACGTATGTTCTATCGAGCTAAAACATACCTTATAATTATCGCTTATCTAATACTTACATAATCAAATTAATAACTTAAGTACAATAACGCATAGGTGTCAATTTTGGCGCATCACTATTCAACCACTCTCAACTATGTATCAGTATGTGTAGAACATGTGATTACGCTTGGCATAATGAGCATTGAGCGATACACGCGCTCTAGCACTTCATGTTAGTTTGAGCGCGCGCTCTATACCTTACTTATTTGTACTCTAAATTCTGAACACTCTTTCTATTGTTCTAAGGGGTCCCTTCTAAAAATTACTACACTCTTTGGCGGGGTCTATAACTTTGACAAGTAGATTGCCATACGGATATTCCGGAGCTTGAAAGGTTAATGTGAACAGAATCAGGGAAAGTCAGTTGTACGTCTAGCTGTTACCGCTCGCAGTGTCAAATAATATAATTCATAATCTGATTCCGGTGTGTTTGTGCTCGCGTGCTCAAATGTATAGAAAAACGCGCGTTATGAAATCGTAATCTTAAATATTCTGATCCGGAATTCTGAACGCTCGTCAGATCGATCTGAGAAAATCATAATCTGAAAAAATCTGAATGTATGGGGAGCATAGTCAAATTGTATGCAATCCGGGCTTTCTTAACTAATAATAGGAAATTCAGATTATCAACCGTCTCAGAAATGAGGGGAGGCCTGTGCCCAGCAGTGGGACGTTTATAGGATGTAACTTTAACTTTTTAAGGTTATGAATTCAGAGAGGCATACCGGATGTGTGAGTCCAACCTTAGCAAATAGATTTTCACATCTTTAATATAATGAATTTCCACTTAGAATGCCCTGCTTTTATTAATTACCAAAAATGAAACTTATGCATATATTA